AGAAGACATTGCTAGCATAAAACTTACGGTTACATCTAGCCATTTAAATTGTAAAACTATGAGATCTTGTTGCCAATCTACTACAGTGCTTGAAATCATAAAGTCTAGGTACCATAGAAAAAAATTGATCAGAACAATTACCATGAAAGTGTTTATAGAAAAAAATACAAAGAAGCTACGTTACAGCGATGAGAAAGTGAGCGAAGCCGCGATACCATGTCAGGACCAATAACATTGCAGATCATTCTACTCTCTTTATATTTATTTATTAATAATATCCAGCACTCACTGCTCTATATTTTTGCTATACTTTTAATACATCGCTTAGCTTTTGGAAAGCATCTTCCGCTATCCCAATGCGACTTCGGATTTCTGTGTCATATTCATCGCTGATAAATAAAATTTTGAGATATTTAAATTGTTGTACTTCATTGTTTTTGGTGGTTCCAATTTGTAATTCGTATGTGTCAGTATTTCTTATCCGGACAAATGTGCATTTTGTCTTCTTGCAATTGATGATTAGTCCTTTCTTCTTGCTTTCCTTCACTACCGTCTGTAGTGTAGTTTTCGTGTAGTTTTCTTCCGTCCTTGCTATCAACGCTCTGTCATCTACATATCCAATGTTGTTAAGATTGTGGCCACTAATCGTGAATCCTGGTCAGTCAGTCATGTGCCATGCGTGATACACTATTAGGTGATCATGTATCTTTCGATACATAACTGACAATGCAGATTTTTTCCCCAGTAGGTTGACATTTCTTTCTGTGGTAGACTAGTTGGCTATAGAACCCATACCTGGTTGGGGGGGGGAAGAAGAGGATTCATACCTTTCCCAAGGGTATTAGCACGTAAGTGAATGTAATGAATTCGACTGGAATTCGAACTCGACTCTCCGATTCCTCAATCCGAGTCGTTACCCATTACACCACTGTGGGAGTTTCTTGGGATTTATTGTGAAGATTTAATAAGTCCGGTGAGACGACACATCCTTGTCTTACCCACTTTCTATTTTTGCTTATTTACTGAATTCATTCTCGATACCCATGCAGGCTGAGTTTTCTCGATTATTCGAATATGCTTCCCAAATATATCAAGCTTACCTATCAGTTCGAACAATTCTTTGTGATGTACTTTATTAAACGCTTTCGCATAATCTATAAAACATAGTTATGCATACTTTTGCATTTGGATTGCTCTTTCTGATATTATTCTGTGCATAAATATTGCAGTCCTGGGTATGACGATAAACTACATCCGGCAGCAAAGCCTCTGATCAGGAGGTTTTGAGGAGCGTGGAACCACATCTTAATTGCTGTCAATAATGATAATAATTGTCTATAATATCAAATTGGGTAAATGTGGCTTTATTTTTATTCTTAATGTTTAGATGTGGATTAAAGTCGATAAGTCAGAAAACTTTTACAAAACTGAAACTTCAAACTATAAGAAACTCCTGCTCAGTAAAATAACTAGTAATTATCAAAAAAAAGTTAATAAAGATAGCACTTAACGAAAATACCGCAATTTTTGCTAATAAAATTGATGTCGCAGACAGAATAGTAAAGAATTCAAATAAAAATGCATATCTACTTTTCAAAGACGACAAACCTAATTTCGACAATAATCTACAATCACAGTTAATTAATTCGTCTAAAATGAATTAGGCCTAATTTCTAAAATTATACTTAAAAAATAACACAAACGATACAAGAAAAACACTATAATAATCTTTGGAAAGACTTCAGAAACTATAAAATGGTTCCAAAATTTTAAAAATGAAAAAGAAAGCAACTTTTATCCAATTGACATTATAATCTTCTACCCATCCATTTCAAAAGAGCGACTACTTAAAAGTTTAGAATTTGCAAAATGCCGGATTGTTATTACTGATAATGAATCCGGTGTTGTCATAGAAACTAGACAATCTCTACTAATATATAACAATTCCACTTGGGTTAAAAGACAGAATGATAGCTTTGACATTCCCATGGCAGTATATGACTCCGGTCAAATCGAAGACTTAGTACGTATGTACATACTAGACATTCTTAGTATGATTATTGACTCTAGACAAGTAGGCCTTTACAGAGATGACGGACTTATCTAAATCCCAAATGGTAACGGTCCTCTATCTTCTAGAATACAGAAGAAAATTATAAGGGCTTTCAAATTTTTAGGTTTTAAAATTGAAGTCTCATCTAAGCTCAATTTCTTAGATGTTACCTTCAACCTCTCGAACAACACCTATAAGCCATTTCACAAACAAAACTAAACTCCGATTTACATTAATATATACTCGAATCACCCAAACTCAATAGTTAAACAAGTTCCACACACTATAAACACTAGAATAAATAAATTATCGTCAAACAGAAAAATATTTAATGAGAATAAAATAACTTATGACGCAGCCGTTAGTAAGAGTAACTTCAAACAAAAATTAGATTACCAAGAATCCTTAGAGGATAATAAAACAAATAAAGTCACAAACAGAAAAAAGAAAGATAATATGGTTCTCCCACGTTTTCTGTAAGCTATCCAAATTAAATAATGGCATATAATTCTTTAACTTAGTCGACAGGCACTTTAACCAAAATATCCCTCTATAGAAAATTTTCAATAGAAAAACTCTCAAAATTAGTTATTTCTGCACCAAAGATATACAGAACATTATTAGTACAGTCAACAGTCAAATATTAAAAGCATCTCAAGACTGCGAAACAGCGAAAGACAAACCATCTTGTAACTGTAAAACCGATTGCTCAGTCAGAGGTAATTCGGAAAATGTGGTATACTAAGCTACCATTTTCCTGAAGGAAAACACCAACGACAAAAAGGCATACACAGGAATATCCGCTGGAAATTGGAAACTGACTATACAGTCACCGACTCTCCTTCTCCAATAATGACTTGAGAAACCAAACCGCTCTATCCAAGTATTGTTGGAAGAATAAAGATAGTGGTTTCACCCGACTAATCAAATGGGAAATCATTTATTGGTCTCAAACCCCTAACAACTTTCAGGACAGATGCGATTTGTGTATACGAGAAAGAATTGCAATAATTGCAATACACAAATGATAACCCATTGTTAAATCAACGGAACGAACTGGTCTTCAAATGTAGACATAAGAACAAATTTAAAATCCCCTAAAAATGTTTATTTGGTGAGGGGATGCAAACTTGAAGTGTTGGTTCATTTATATGGATAAGAGCGCATATGAACGTACATTCATTAATAATGTTTTTTTCTCATATTCACTCACACTAAGTAACCCCTTGTGTCTTAGTGGCTTTATTGACTTGATTGGGGTGAAAAGGGTATTAGAAAATACGTTATTTAATTCTCACCTAAAAAGAAGTTTTTTAAAAAAACTTTCATGTCGTCTTATTTGTTCTTTCTTAAAGATGCTATTGCATGACGTAATAGTCATTGGAAATTCTACTACGGCGAAAGCGGAATCAGACATGAAGAGAATAACTATAAGATACCGGGAAAATGAATTCTGTCTGTGCTCCAGGAAGGAAGATCTGACTTACCTAGAAAACGAGCATTCTAAATTACTGTATTCGAAACCGGCCAAACGCCGAAGGAAATTTTGTTTAACCCTGCTTATCGTGACAGAAACAAGAGCTCAGTTATTTGGGAAACTAATGAGGATGGAACTCCTAGCATTATCAAATTTCCTTAAAAAACTTGCCTACGACCCATCGCTCTACAGCAGACGCCCTCAACTTCCTCTCAATAATAAACATAAAACTCACCCTCTTTCCACACTCCCCTTATTCCGAGTACATGATCTTCATACTTTACGTATTCTTATATATGCTTATTTCTGCCTCTATCTGTTGATAACAAATGTAGTAGCTGGTGTTTGTTTGTTTTAAAATTATTTTTTCTGTATCCGTCTTTTAAATTCAACACAATTCCTTATAATAAGCTGTTTCTTCTGAAAAACTTGCAATTATCTGACGAAAAGATTGGCTTCTGTCCACCCAAATGCAATTTCTTTCGGCTTTAGGAATGAATGCATACAGACAGGCTTCAACAAGAAGAGAAAGACGAGCAAACATGATAAATAATGGAGCCAAGATGGCGGAAATAATTATAATGATAATTAGGATGATAACTCTGAGAAGGAAAAGAAGTGAAAGAGGAAACAGAAAGACTGGACAGAATAGAAGAAGAAGAAGAAGAAGAAGAAGAAGAAGAAGAAGAAGAAGAAGACTCCTGACAAAGAAAAAATAAGAAAGAAATGAAGGATGGCCAGAATAAGGATGTGAAAGAAGAAGAGGTATATGATCTAAAATACAAAGGAGGAGGAGGAGGAGGAGGAGGATTAGTAGACGAAGAAAAAGAAAAGAAGAAGAGAAAATATGCCCAAACTTAAAGGAGAAAATATGCCCAAAATAAGGCATATAAAAGAACAAAAAAGAAAAGAAAAGAAAACGAGAAAAAGAAGAAAACAAGATAAAGTGAAAAATGGCAATAAGGACAAAAATGAACAAAAAATAGATAGAAAAGATAGAATAAGATGGATAGAAAGGATCAGAAACAGAGATGGATAGGCAATGATAAGATAATAGAAGATGATAGAGATAGAAGAAATAGATAGATAGATAGATAGAAAAATGGATCAGAATAGATGGATAAAAAATGAGGTGGGATAGATAGATAGATAGATAGATATATAATAGATAGATCAGATAGATAGATAGATAGATAGATAGATAGATAGATAGATAGATATAGATGGAATGATAGATCAGAATGAGATGGATAGATAGCAATGATAAGAATGGGATAGATAGATAGATATAGATATAGATAGATAGATAGATAGATAGATAATAGATCAGAATGAGATGGATAGATAGCAATGATAAGAATGAGATGGATTGATAGATAATGATAATAGATAGAATAAGGATCAGGAGATGGATAGATAGAATGAGAATGGATAGATAGATAGATAGATAGATAGATAGATAGATAAGGATCAGAATGAGATGGATAGATAGCAATGATAAGAATGGGATAGATAGATAGATAGATAGATAGATAGATAGATAGATAGATAGATAAGGATCAGAATGAGATGGATAGATAATTTAATGATAAGAATGGGATAGATGATAGATAGATAGATAGATAGATAGATAATAGAGGACAGGGATGAATGATGGATAGATAGAAATGATAAGAATGGGATAGATAGATAGATAGATAGATAGATAGATAGATAGATAGATAGATAAGGATCAGAATGAGATGGATAGATAGCAATGATAAGAATGGGATAGATAGATAGATAGATAGATAGATAGATAGATAGATAGATAGATAGATAAGGATCAGAATGAGATGGATAGATAGCAATGATAAGAATGGGATAGATAGATAGATAGATAGATAGATAGATAGATAGATAGATGGATAGATAAATGATAAAGAATGGATAGATAGATAGATGGATAGAATGAGATGGATGACAAGGATCAATGAATGATGATGGATAGATAAAATAAGAATGATAATAATGAATAGATAGATAGGATGGATCAGAATGAGATGGATAGATAGATGATAAGAATGGGATGAATAGATAGATAGATAGATAGATATAGATAGATAGATAAGGATCAGAATGAGATGGATAGATAGCAATGATAAGAATGGGATAGATAGATAGATAGATAGATAGATAGATAAGGATCAGAATGAGATGGATAGATAGCAATGATAAGAATGGGATAGATAGATAGATAGATAGATAGATAGGATCATGGATAGATGAATGAATGATAAGATGGATAGATAGATAGATAGATAGATAGATAGATAGATAGATAATGAATGGATCAGAATGAGATGGATGCAATGATAGGGATAGATGATAAGAATAGGGATAGATAGATAATAATGGATCATAATAATAATAATAATAGATAGATAATAGATATATAATAATAAGGAAGAATGAGATGGATAGATAGCAATGAACTCCTGGGATAATAGATAATAATAGAAGAAAGAGTAGATAGATAAGGATCAGAATGAGATGGATAGATAGCAATGATAAGAATGGGAATAAAGATAGATAAAAGATAGATGATAGATAGATAGACATGATGGATACCTAAAATGGGATAATACATAGATAGATAGATGAAAATGAAGATAGAAAAAAAGAAGAAAGATGGATGATGATGATAAGATGATGATAGATGATAGATAGATGATAGATAGATAGATAAGATGATGAGATGGATGAAGAGGAATGATAATGGGTAATTACGTATTCAGATAGCCTGGAAGATAAAATAAGGGATGGATAGATAGATTGTGAGAAGATAGATAGAAATAGAAATGATAAGAATGGGATAGATAGATAGAAAGATAATAGATAGAAAGATAGGATCAGAAATGAGAAAAAGAATGATAAGAAAAAATGAATAGATAGATGAATAGATAAAATAAAGATGGGATCGGAGATGGATAGGATAAATAGAAGATAGATAGATAAGAAGAAATTATGATAAGGTGAGATGGATAGATAGCAATGATAAGAATGGGATATTAAAATGATATTATCAGAATGAGATGGATAGATAAATGATAAGAATGGGATTTAGATAGAAGATAGATGTTAGATTAATAATAAATCAGAATGAGATGGATTAAATGATAAGAATGGGATAGATAGATAGATAGATAGATAGATAGATATAGATGATAGAACTCAGAATAGATGGATAATACCGCATCAAAAATGGGATAATAGCATCCATCGATCATAGATAGATGATATTGATAGATGAGATGAAGCAATGATAAGAATGAGATGGATGAATAGATAGATAGATAGATGGATAGAATAATAATAGATGGCGAATGAAATAAAAATGAGCAACAAGATAGATAGATAGATAGATAAGCAAAAAATCATGAAAACAAAAATGACGGTCAATCTGCATGTTCGAAAATAAAGCCGACATTTTGTTGCATTGTCGTCATGAACGAACAAAAAACAGAATAACAATCATTATGTTAACAACAAAGGAAATAATACAGGAAAGTCGGTATAGATTTTAGAAGTTGTATTCAGTAAATTGGATAGATAGCGAATTTAGATAGATAGATAGATTCATCTATCTCTCCATCTATCTGAGATTCTCGTTTTTTAATTTTTTTTAATATTTAATAATTTGAATTTCTAATGCAATACCCAAAACGACAAAAAAAGAAGAAAAAAGAAGAAAAAGATGATGATGATGTTATTTGATGATTTTCACCAATTAGCTAAAGAAGAAAGAAATAAAGAAAGAAAAAGGAAATTGAGAAGGAAAAAACTGTAAAAGGAAAAAAAACAAAGATGAACGGAGAAAAGACAGAGATATTCAGGAGACAATTAAAATGCAAAAAAGACATTAATGATGCCGTTAACAAGAGCGTATCGAACTTTTTTCCAGACAAAAAGCAATTCCATCGTCAATGATGGATGAAGCTCAGAATGTGATAATGATGGCGACTGAAATAAAATGAGCAACAAGCATGACAAGCAAAAATCATGAAAAACAAAATGACGGTCATCTGCATGTTAAAATAAAGAATGAGATAGATCGATAACAAAAAACAGAATAATAAGAATGAAATACAGAAAGAGATTCAGAAATTGTCAGGCGTTTTTTTTTCATCTATCGATTTTAGATCAATAGATATTTATAGACTAAATATGGATCAGAATGAGATAGATACAAAAAACAAGAAATATCGATGATGGATGCAGAATGATAGATAGATAGATTGATAGATAATGAGAAGATCGATAGCAAATGATAAGAATGAGAGAGAGATAGATCATAGATCAATAGAAGATGACCAGGATCAGAATGAGATAGATATATATATATATATATATATATATATATATATATATATATATATATATATATATATAGATAGAGAGAGAGAGAGAGAGAGACGTAGCTAGACAGATAAATAAATATGGCTTTATTCTATAACAATTTAATTTAGAGTGATACGTAAGATATAACTGGTCATGTGTCAGAAATAGGCAAATAAGAAGTGCGTCTCAAGGGATTCCAGGAAATCTTCCGAAAATGATTGAAGTCCGTAAGTGAACTATTCGGACAATTCCAAGTACCGGCTCTGCTTGATTGGAATTGTCTGGTTATACTGGCCCAAGTTATATGCAGGTATGTTCAGCGTGCTTGAGTTTGTAAAGAACCCTTGAGACCATTCGACTGAGTTTTCTAAAATTGAGGAGAGAGGCCATCATTATTTCTAAAAGTCTTGGAAAAGCACATATATACGAAGTAGGGTGTTGAAATATTCTTGTTTTAACCATGAATCCTTTCGGAGAAAATCCGATGTTTTCTAATCTGGTCAGATTTCGGGGTGTGAAATATCAGAACGCATTTCCAAAATGCATATATGAAATTTTCAGTACCCACTCGAAGATAAAGAATTAAATTTTCTTAAGTCACCTCAGCTGATGAAAACGACGTATAAGTTAAAGGTTAAAAATAGGCCTAGTGCATCATCGCATGCAGAAGTTACACGTTTGCCATTTCTCTTCTTACCTTCCTTTCTTGAGGAAAAATTCATCCTAATTAAAATTTTAATTTAATTTTGTCGATCTCCGAGGGAATTATAAAACGTTAACACCCGAATCAAAAAAGGGATTTTTTCAAACCATCTGATGTTTGTCCAATTGGTTATGTTTCAGGTAGTGGTTCAGGATGAGAACTTTTCAATACTTTCTCTCTCTCTCTCTCCCTGACTCTCTCTTGCTCTTTCTCTCCCTGACTCTCTCTTGCTTTCTCTCTCTCTCTCGCTCTCTCTCTCTCTTATGATATGAAATATTATGCTTTGTTTTACATAATTTTACGAGACGTGTTTCTGGTCTCGCGACTGTCTTCAGGTAAAAGTGGAGATTTCCACATATTATTAAAAATAATTAATTTTCCCTCATGTTCAATGTTAAATATTCTCGATATGAGACATTTTCTGTTTGTGTGTTGGTAATCTGAAATATATATATTCATATATATATATATATATATATATATATATATATATATATATATATATATATATATATATATATATATTCTAATCCTCATTCTATTTTGTTATCTCCCTTTCTCACCCTCACTCAATTGCTTTCTCTTTCTCCCTCTGCTTCGCTTTGGCTTTCTCTCTTCCACTCTTTCTCTACACACACAGAGAAAAGCACACACACACACACACACACACACACACACACACACACACACACACACACACACACACAGTGGTCTGAAAGTCTTGTCACCCGTTCATAACATAATTTTCTATTTCAACGCTCTGTGGTGTGTTATTAAGGAGAGAATTTCATATGAGCAATACCATAAGACCTATCAGCGTAAAATATCAGACAGGACATTGCGCCGCATCATTTTATGTCACGTAAATGATGGCTGTTCATACAGACCTTCGCTGTACGACAGCATCAAAGAAAGTGAATAGATTGAGTCCAGTACATGTCCTTTGCATTTCATGTATTACTTATTCTATTGTTCTCGTTATTTTTAATAGGTGTGACACGACTTTCGGACCACTACACACACACACACGCACACACACACACATATATATATATATATATATATTGCTCTCTCTCTCTATCTATCTATCTATGTATATATATAAATATAAATATTTAAAGAAAGAAAACACGGCAAACGAGTTTATTATAGTGTATATTTTTTTTAATACTTTATTCTATATAGAATAAAGTATTTTAAAAAAATCCACATTATAATAAAAATGTTTGCGGTGTTTCTCTCTTTAAAACTTTTCTTGTTGGTAGGAACAACCGTATACCCTTACACACACACACGCACACACACACAGACAGACAGATACACATACACACAGACACACACACACATGCACACACACACATAAATATATATATCTCGTGTATTTAGGCACCAGTCCCTCTTTTATACATGTTTTATTAAACACGACCAAAAAGGTACTGCGATTAAGCTTTTTATATAATTGTGTTTACTTTTCTGGACACATCGTGTATAGAAAGTGTCTAAATGTTTTGTAATTCCAAACGCTATACTTTTAATCATTATCAAGGATGATTTTATTTTTACATCCAGTTAAAAAATCCTTGATTATCCTTGATAATAGCTAAAATTAAAGCCGAAAGCACTCGGAATTTGGACAGTTTCTACACACCCTGTGTCCAGAAAAGTAAACACTTGTTCGAACACAAGAAAAATTATATAAAAAGCTTAATCACAGTACCTTGTCTGTCGTCTTTAATGAAGCATATATATATATATATATATATATATATATATACATATTAAAATGATTGATATACCACTATTAAAAGATTGAAGATGTAATAGCTGGTTGAATGCTTAATTCTTTTTATTCTGTTGTTAACATTTCGTTCGATAACAACATCATTAGAATATTTAGTTCAATAAAAAAAGCACGCCCTGGGTAAGACGATAAACTACATCCGCGTCCAGGGTAAGACGATAAACTACATCCGCGTCCTGGGTAAGACGATAAACTACGTCCAACAGCAAGGTCTCCGATCAGGAGGTTTTGAGGAGCGTGGAACTACATCTTAATTGCTGGTGTTCCCAGGTCCACCCTGACCCGGGGTTGGTAGAACCTGTTAGGGTCCCAGCTATAGGCAAATAGGTAACACCCAAACTTGTGTAAAAATACCAGAAATACGTTGTAATAAAAAAATTATTACTTTATTTTGAAGGAAAAATTATTATCAGCAATACTTAAAAAAAAAAAAAAATAACAGCAATACAAACAGCTATACATTTTTTGAAAAAAATATGACCAGCTATAGATTTCTTCAAGAAAAAATATTCACAGAAATAGATTTTTGAAGAAAAATATATTACCAGCAATAAAATTTTTTCGGCATTAAATAGTCCATTGAGGTTGATATGCTGTGAAATAAAACAAACCTAACAAACCAAATCAATAATAAAAACCATCGCAAATTCTTCAACAAAACTATAAATACATCGAAAATCGGTAATACGCTTTGACCTCCCGTAAATGTATGTCTTG